AAAGTAATATTTATGTTCGAGAAAACCTTTAACTTGACTTACATGTTCATCAAATAAAAAAAATGACTTGTTGAATACATAAAAAAGATGATAAAACAATTACTTTTTTTCCATAAAAGTAAATTAAAAATCGTAAAGCTAAAAAAATATTCAGATAATTAAAAACAAATTCAAAAATATTTCAAGAATTAAATATTTTTTAATAGGATAAATTAAAAATATAATATTATATATAAATTAGGAAAATTAAACAAAAGTTAAAGAAAATTCAAAAAAAATGGAAAATGCTAAATAGGTTTTTTTAAATTACAAGAGTATGTTTTAAAACAAAAACTGTTAAAAACTATCATTGTCAATATATAGTAATATATGTTGGAAATTTCTATTGTCAACATTAATACGTCAGTTTTTTAAAGCAATCTTGTAATCTTATGCGATTTTCTAATAAAAAAACTGACATATCTTCATTGAGAATCAAAGTTTCAAGCTTATCACTGTTGACGATGATGATTTCAGATATTTTTCTTAAAAACGTAATCTTGTAGTTTGTAAAAACTACTTTGAATTTTCTAATTCTTTTTTAAATTTTCTAATTTTTTTGAATTTTATTTTTTTTGTTTAGTTTTCTGAATTTTCTTTCATTTTATGAAATCTTATTTAATTTTATTTAATTAAATTAAATTGTTTTGAATTTTTCTTTATTTTCTAAACCTTTCTTTAGTTTTCTGAAATTTTAATTTATTTTTCTTATTTTTTTTAATCAAATTTTCTAACTTATTAACTAAATAATTATTTTTTGGAAAACAAAATAGACAAATTACCATTTTTACATGTTCTGCATGTCACTTTTTTTACTTGATGAACAAGTATGTCAAGTTGAAGGTTTTTTGTGATACAAATATCAGTTGAAAATTTTAAGTGTAGTGAAAAAATTCAATGTTTAAAGTGTCAGTAAATGCCACTTTCAGGATTTTTTATGCGATTTTCTAAATCAAGAACTTTCTTTTTCTCATGTATGCTAATAGAACCTATATGATCCCATATTTGGATTAACAAGTTTATAAGGAGGTGTACAATTTTTCATTGCCATCAAACACCTTTTGTGAAGGATGTGTATGATATTTGTGTTGGATTTATGAGAGTTGTCTCATACAAGAGAGAATAAAATTAACTTATGAATAAATCTCCTTCACCCACGCAAAAGAGAACTCACCTTCAACAAAAGAAGAAACAACCAATTTGTGATTGAATCAACACAAATAACCTACAATACAGCCAAATATATTAGTGAGTAAACCGATTGTGTGAAGGAGATAATATCTAGTTTGAGACTAATTCTATGTGAAGTAATACAACCATTAGAGTTTGTGTACCTAAGATAAATAGGATTTAGAATCAATAAGCTAGAGTTTAATAAGTAAATAGAGAAGAGTTTAGTGAGTATTTGACAAGTGTTTTGCTGCCTTAAGGCATCCTCTAAATTTTGATGTTTAAGCTCTTCAAAATTTTGAAAGTTGATTAAATACAAGAGAGGGAGAGAGCACAAGAACTTCTCTAAATTTTTGTTTCTTACAAGAGAGTGACCAGCCTTTATATGGTTTCAAGGAAATATTCGAACTTATAATAGTTCATCTGCATATAACACAAAATCAAAATCAGCAAACTGAAAATACGTGTATATAAAAAAAAAACTAATCATTCTAAGAGAATATAAATCTATTAAATCAAAAGAAAAAAAAAATGTTCATATCATAAAAGTTAAATGGCTTTGTTTTTCTATTAAGATATAGTAAATCGGTGGGTGCTTCTAAATGATCCAGCATCCATGATAATATATGATTTACCTTAATAAATTCTACAAAAATTGGAATGAGAAAGGAAATTATCTTGTTAGTAATGGTTAATTTAAATAAAAAAAATATTGGGAATATCATGCACCAAATTTTTGATTGAAAATTTTGATATAAGTATTTAAATAAAAGATGCATGATATTAAGAAAAAATATCTCGTGAAATGATAGCAACTGATTTTTTATTGAAAAATACTTCTATAGATAGCAAAATATTAAATATAGATAGTAAAGAAATCTAAAAATAGATTATAACAGTTTTCTTTTATCGACAAATCTCACTATATATATTTAAATATTAAATTCCCGACTTTAAAATAATGAAATAATCATATAAAACATTTTTTATATCATATATCTATATGGTATATACACTTTATAATACAATTAATTATATGATAATTATTTATAAAACAGTAATACTAAAATTTATAATATGAATTTATCAATTAAATAATTTAACATAACTTAAATAGTTCCTATAAATTTTATATATTTATCATAAATACTTTATAGTATTATAAAATTGTATGTAGTCATATATTAGCATAAAATTGTTTGTAAGAATATTATAATAGTAGTTATTAGATTAATATATAATATATCCTTATGATAATATGTAGTATTTTACTAATATGTTTATTTATCTACGAAATGTATTAGATTTAGTAGTATTTAAAAAAAAAAAATCACGGCATTTGTTTAGTTACAAGTCCAATTAACCCTTGAGGTTTAAGCTTGGGATTGAGGCACACTTGACTCATGTATACATGTCATCTTAGCTAAGTCATAACTTTTCTACCAATCAAAGATAACATTTTCATTTAAGATTGTTCTTAATTGGTTGAATGCTAAAGAAAAGCTAAAGAAAGTGAATACCTTAAATTACAATATATGTATATTTCTATAAATTTAATCTAATATATTATAAGAAATAATAAATAAGTAAGTACACACATATTTATCTCACAGTATATAATATCTACATCTTGCAAAAGTTTAATCTTATGACAAATAACTTTTGAAAGATATTTTGAAAATTAAAACTTATGATGATGTGAAGTAATGTTTCAGTGAAAGATATTTAGCCCCCACACCCAAAATTGACACATGCGAAAAACACCATGCCGGTCAAAAAAGATATTACTAAGTGCAGTGTTTCATGTGCAAAAAAACCCTATTCGTCAAGAGAGAAAAAAGAGAGATTTTTTTAGTTTCAAGCCGATGGCCGGAGGCTTCTATAGCTCCGACCTCGGCTTTTTTAATTCTTCTTATTTCTACTTCTTTGATCTGTTTTCTTTATGGTCTTCTAGTTTGTTTGACTGTCAATTTATTTTGAATCTGGCAAAATTTTGGATTATTCTTTGGTATGGTTTTTCCAATGGATTTGGAATGGAAAAAACTTTGGTTCAACTGAATCGTTTAGAAAAAGTAATTGACAGATCTACTGCGGATGGTGACGACGGATCTTACCGGCTTCAATCGTTGATGGTTCTTCACTTGATGGTGATGGATTTTTTGCTGCAAACTATGGTTACTTCGAAAGACATCATGAAATTCTATGGAACGGTAATCTCTTTGGCTCTGTTATTATCAATAGAGCAATATAAAGAGTTGTCTTCTCTCGTTGGCTCCTACTGGAGTAATAAAAAAGAGTAGCAATCGTTCTCAACTAAGTCTGAAGTGTGGTGTTTATGGATTAATATGAAGATTTATCTCCTATGAGATTCAACTATTTGAGAAGCAAATATGGAGCTTTCACATGAAAATTTTTAGTCATCCATACGCTAATAGATGTGTTAGTTTACTTTGGATCCCTACTGGTGTATCCTTTTTCTATATTGTTTTTACCAATTCTCATTTTGTAAAACTATTTGCCTAAATGACTTAATAATACAATCCAGCGTTAAAAAAAAAGTGCAGTGTTTAAGTTTTAACATACTAAACAAGATAACTATTTTTGTATAAGAAACATAAGAATTACAGTAAAATTTATTTCCATGATAAGATAACACATTAAGTGGTAGTTATTGGTTTTGATATTTTGGTAGATTTATAAATATAATTGGATTTGGAAACCTTTGATTTATATACTGATTTCAAATCGAATAACTGGATTTCAGATGGATTTTAAAACAAAATTGATAGATTTTAATAAATCAATCTAATGGGTTTACGAGAATTGTAACATGTTTGTGAAGATGCAAGCGGGAGAACTTTTTCCCATGTGAAAGAGATTTATTGGTAGAGGTCTAAGCATGTTACATTTAGAGTTGATAAGAATGTGAATCAGAACGTTAAGCTTAAGTGGCTTGCTATTCGCAAACAAATCTAGCGCTTGGGTATTCAAGTTTGTATGTTTTGTGGTGCCACATGTATCAACTAATCTGCTATACTTGGTATTCTGATTCTTTGAATTTTTTTCCCGGAGTAATACGATTAAAACTAATTTCACATGCTACACTTACTACTCTATTTATTAATTATTTTTCATAAAGTCTTAAGGAACATGAATAGGTAAAAATGTAATTAATGTTAAGGATGAAGTTTTAGTTCTAGGTGGTGTCGTTCTTCGCATAAACTGGAATTGTTTTGATTATAGACCAAAAAAAAAAAATACATGGCTACATTTTTAAGGAATATTGTTGATAATTTTTTTCTTAGAAATTAAATGGCTACATTTTGACAGATCATGGTTCACTGTAACAGATAACATTCCATTTAAAATATTATAATTATATCTTACATATGAAGTACGAGGATAACTATTAAAAGTTTGAAATGGAATCAAAAGATTTTGTAAAACTGTAGTAAGGTCATGGATATATCTTCTTTGAATGACTTGTAAAGTTAAATACCCATAGGTAGCAGCTCTCTATAAATAATAAGTATAAACTCTATTTTAATTNATAACATTCCATTTAAAATATTATAATTATATCTTACATATGAAGTACGAGGATAACTATTAAAAGTTTGAAATGGAATCAAAAGATTTTGTAAAACTGTAGTAAGGTCATGGATATATCTTCTTTGAATGACTTGTAAAGTTAAATACCCATAGGTAGCAGCTCTCTATAAATAATAAGTATAAACTCTATTTTAATTTCCAACATCAGTTTGCACCTATGTGTTAAATATCTTTTGAGAATGACAGAAGACAAAAAAGGTCGTAAAAAAATAGAGATTGTGAAAATGGATAATGATGCCAATATTCAAGTTACATTTTCAAAGAGAAGACAAAGTCTTTTTAAAAAAGCTAGTGAACTTTGCACCTTATGTGGTGTAGGTATGGGAGTAATTGTGTTTTCACCAGGTCAAAAAGTGTTCTCTTTTGGTACTCCAGATGTTAGATCTGTAATCAACAATTTCCAAAATCACAATCATAATCCTCTTATATATAGTAACGACGGTTTGAATCCAGCTATCCAAAATCTCAACAGCATACTCTCTCAGGTAAATAACAATTATTTTTCTTCTTTGTATATGCTACAATAAATGATATATAGGGCAAAACCAAAACAAAACCTCATTTTTGTTAGGGTTTGATTTGGATTCAGTTTAGTTTGGTTCTACCAGATTGAACACCTAGTTACCTTTACACATGATAAAATTTCATTGCAGGAGGTGGAAACGCTTGAAATAGAGAAAAGAAGGAGGGAGGTATTGGATGAGATACGAAAAAAGAGAGAAGAAACGAAAAAATCGTGGGAAAAACCTCTTAAGCAACTTGACTTAAAACAAAACACTGATCTAATTAGTGCTCTGGAAAATCTGAAAATGAAATTGAAAATTCAACGATCTCAACCCTTCCAAGCAATTGATCCTCTGAATTATTATGGTGGAAGTAACAACAACATTGTTGGTGGTGGAAATGTCGATCCTTTCGACCAAACAAGAATGTTATAACAATAACAACAACATTTCAGCTTTTCCTTTTCTTTTACTGTTTTTCTTTTGTCAATTTTTTTCATGTTGTTGCTTTGTTTGCGTATTGCATGTGTGAGCGGGGTAATTTATGAATAAATGATCTTATACATCATTTTTATCTCCAAAATTTAATCCATGAATAATCTTATACATAATTTGCATCTCCAAACTTTATTAATGGCTTAACTTAGGAAGAAACTAATGGCTCAGAATATTTTTTTGAAATTATGTTTGGAAATACATATTTGTGGATATGTATTTGGTGGACAAGATTTTGTTAAACATATTTTCCTTGAACATGTTTTTCGTGGACAGAAAATATATTTGTTAGAAGTCATTACAAACAGTATATGATATTCTAAATACGATTCACAAAACATTATAATTTACAAAGGTTGTCTCATATTTCAAATACTATTTACAAGACATTAGAACATTTCACCCATGAGGAATCAAAACAAAATCAGTAAACATATGTTGATAAGTTGCTGGTGAAAACTCTAATTAAGTGGATATGCATCTTGTGGACACCATATTATGGACGAGTTAAAAATGTTGTTGACACAAGAAGAAGCTGTGAGGATTCTAGAGGTGGAGCTCAGTTTATCTATGAAGGTTTATACACCAAAGTTTCGGTTTGTCATAGTTGGGTTGGGGCTGACTCGGACCATAGTCTTAGGATCTCTTCTGTCAGCTTTATTCATCTTTAATTATAGACTCAAGAAGATCCACGAGTTTCACGAAGCAGAGAAAGTGACCAAGTACACTTTTCTTAGTTGGAACAGCGCTGGATCTCACATCACTCCTCATGGCCATACCCTGATCAGACTGGACATTTGCTGTCTTCAGTAGGCTAAATGAAAACGAAGCAAACAGTGGCTCACAGATGGACCCCTTACTCATCTCGTTCCTTGGTTTAAAGAGGATGCAATGTAAGACGCAAAAAATGCTGCGAAAGAAAAGTTAAGCACAAGGTGCTTAACACAACGTTTTTAATCCAAAGATGGGCAGGAAGCATCAAGCTGTTCAACGTCCTTGCATACTTTGTTAAAGCAGATATAGAGAGGATCCACGACACCAACGGGAGAACATGTTGGCGTACATGGAGGGCTATACTTATCCCTTACATTTACACTATCCACAGCTTCAAGAAACTGTGCACAACTATAGCCATTTTTAATGATGATATCCGCCAGTAAAGGTGGTTAGTCATCAATCAGTAGTCGGGCCAAACCGGTTGTCTCTTTATGGTACAATTATTAGTGAACCCTGGTTCATGATACCTCATTTCTTCACAATTTTAATTAGGAACTGCATCACTAACTCACTCGACATTAATGACCTTTGCGATAACATCGTTCTTCAAGATCTGCCACTTAACAAATGAACTATGGGTTTTCATATCTACTAAGCTGCAATCTAGATTTCAGCGTCCAGAAAAGAGATGCGTGGTGACCATGAACTCAACAAAATTTTATCAGACTAGATGATGTACCTCTTGATTATGGAGCCAAAGCTGATGTCCGAAATTGCAGGCATAGGGAAGATCATATTTGTATACAGTTTGGCTGAAGCTGAATTCTTCAAGAGGTGGTATATTGGGTTCGTCGCTAAATCACATAGTTTGAATGCATAAAAGGAACTGTGGGAGCAGAGAAAGTTGGGCGAGATTAGGGTTTCACAAAAATATGTTGATTGGTTGATTTATGCAACTAAACCCACGATTTAGTTGGTTTCAGTCTGGAGGCTTTTTGAGAAATGTGCATGGAGAAAGTGTGTGCAAGCTGAAAGTATCTCTATTTGTAAATACAGAGATACAATTCAGTGATAATATATGGGTAAAGGAATCTTTCATCCCGTCATCCAGAGTAATTATAAGTTTTGATAAACTGTCCAGAATATTTTCATAGGAGACTAACAATTTTGATTTTGAGGCATATTCTTCCAAGTTGATCAAAATCTTGTTTCTCCATAGGAGACCCACAATCTTGTACTTTCCTCCTGATTTTTCTCTAATCTTATGCAATCTTTTTTATGAATTGTAATAATTTAGTTATTTTACTGTTTCCATAATCTATCTATCTTATTAAAACAATAACATTATCTTTTTTAAGTGAATTTTTAAGTTGGATCTCGTTTAATAAATGCTACAGTAATCTAACCTGTTATTAAATTATTTATTTTCTTATTATTCGATGGATAGATAACAACCAAAATAATTCTCTTCGACAGCTCACCTAATTATTATNTTAGTTATTTTACTGTTTCCATAATCTATCTATCTTATTAAAACAATAACATTATCTTTTTTAAGTGAATTTTTAAGTTGGATCTCGTTTAATAAATGCTACAGTAATCTAACCTGTTATTAAATTATTTATTTTCTTATTATTCGATGGATAGATAACAACCAAAATAATTCTCTTCGACAGCTCACCTAATTATTATGCATAAAATTCCACTCTTTCCAATATTACTCTTATTGTTCGATGGATATGTAATATAATTCCGTTATTAAACGGATTATACTTTTATATTACTCATTTTTAGTTGTTGATTGTAATTCGATATGTCGTGTATAGTATTGCAATCCTATGCATAACATGTCGTAAACAATAATATAAATTCAAACTAAAACAAGAGCTAAACATCATAAGATGGGAACATATCGAAAAGTGTCAATATTTCCAAGGAAGAACGAACATCATAAGAAACTAATATAAAAGTTAAATGTTTTTAGAATCATGGATCAAGGGTGAATTGAAATATTCAATAGTATAGACTGCCTCTGCCCATCTCTAATACTATATTGCTTTTACAAGTTCTTAAGCACAATTCCAAGTCCATCGAACACTAATAAATTCAAATGTGCACACAAAAAATTATATACTTTTATTGAATTTATATGCGACTGTTTATATCATATGTTCCTTTGGATTATCAACATGGTTTATAATTATTTTCAAAAAAAAAACATACAAAAGACTTTGATTCGTCCTATATATCCGGAGATTTTTCCATTTTTTTATGTATTTTAAGTATAAATTTATGAGTTCATATTTATCCGTTATTGATTGAAATGTCAATATCATTACTTTAAATTTTAAAACCATGTTTTCAAGTTTGAAACGTGTGCAAGGGTAAAAATGTTCTCGAAATTGTTAGTTAGGAAGTTTCTATATATTGTATTTTATAAACAAAAATAATAATTTTAGGTTCCTAAATTTCAGTCGTTAATTGAAAAATTTCTGTTATTAGTTGAAATATTAAAGACATTTATTTTTGTTAAGTACTGTTCCAAAAAAAAGTTAATTTGTTTGTTTTGAAGCAATGTTTTAAAAATCGGATCAAACATTGATTCGGCAGCAGCTGGGTCAATGGTCGGTTCAGTCCAATTGGTCTGACTAGAAAATTAAGTATCTATATATTTATGCATAAGTGTAAAATTATTTTTATCAAACTTTTAATCCTTATTAGAATCTAAAAATAATATGAAGTTAAAATGAAAACTTAAAATTAATATAAAATATAATAAAACTATGATTTTTATATAGATAGATATTAAAAAAATATGATTTTTATAAAATATTTTTAAAATTTTAGTTTGAGAAAACAAGATTTTAATATCAAAATGTTTCATCGGTTTTTAGTGATTTTTACCTATTTTTAACTGATTTTACCGATTTTAGTTAAAATCCAATATTTAGCACAACCCAAAACCGTTTAAAAGAGCATCATAGTCCGACATGCTGGTCCAATCCGGTTTTCAAAACTCTGTCTGGTAGTGTTTGTTTGGAAGTATCCTCATGTATATATTTTTATAACACTCAAGAAACAACTGTTAATACACAAAACAATTTTAGTAAATTTAATTAAGCCACATAAAATAAGTATAATAAAACTCAAAAAATTATGACACTAAACAGTACATAAATGTATATATAAATTTGTTTAAGCGAAAAAATATATGCGGTCGCGCGTATCATGATTTAGAATTATTTAAAGTTCGGGATTAACTGGTTAGCTTGTTCAATTGAAACTGAGTTATTGATGATTTTGCAAAATATTAGCGCTTGAGTAGCCAATCATAGATTTTATTGTGATTTAAAATTTTGGCTGACAGAAAGGTTTAAAATGGTTTCATTTAAGTTCTCCAGGAATAATATTTATATTTTTGGTCTCCTCTTTTTTATATGGGAAATTGCACGCTATAGCGTCCAAAAATTTTATAATTCACTATCTGACGCTTTGACCTATTTTGCTAGAATACAATACATATTTTTTATAATAATACAATTATGCCCTTCTCAACAACCGACGAAACCTGCAACCAAATCAATTTAAAATAAATAATTAATTATTGTAAAATATAAACTGTGGTTCTTCTTTATCCACATATCTTACTCACGTCATTTTTAATAGATTGAAAAGGTAAATAGATTTAATCTCAGATTAACATCCTCGGTAACACAACTGTCTAAATTCCCGGCGGTGAGAGAAGAAGACCACCACATTTTGTGCACTGAGAGAAGGGGAGCTTCTGAGATTCTGATACTAAGAGGCGCGAATAAGACAACACCATAGCGGCGGCGAGGTGAAGTCAAGATTTACAGTTCGACTTCACAAATCTGTTTTCCATAAGAGAACTCAAGCCAATAAGTTTCTGGTGTTTTCTTATATTCTCTTCGAAATAAATTGTGTTGTGTGTGTGTGAATCTCTATTGTAAACTCAGAAACCCAAAAGTTTGTTTATTTGCGTTTGGATGTCGTGTTCCTTCTATTCTACTTTTGAATCTTGTATCTTGTATATAAAATAGACCTAAGAGTACATGTAATAGAATAGATATCTGTATTCATGTAAATAGAATAGTCTATTATCATATGCATAACGTTGGAATTTTGTGTATGGGTCACTGTTCTATTAGATTTTCACGCTTTGGGAAATATCTTGAATTGTGTCATTTTAATTGAAGAACATG